AAGTGTAAAGAAATTCGAACACGTGGTCCTTACTCTAACTTATATCATATAGTTAAGCCATGAAATGTCAGGATCAGGTAGCAATAGACGAGTATGAAACACACTAAAGAAGATCTATAAACTTACGTCAGAGTTCTTTCACAGCATTGTGGTTGAGTCGAATTCGTCGAGCTAAATGTAGAAGGCGGAATTGCGAAGTGCTGTTAACGGAACTAATGCCGAGGCGGTTTTAAAATTACCAAATTCGCCCCTTTCATTTCTAATTTCATTTACGAATTCGTCTCATTACGAATTCGTAGACCCCGTGATCTTAAGCTACAAATGAGGGTTGTCCCATGCACCTAAATTAAGTCGATTCTTCAGTTTACAAATCGACTTATTGGACGTCACGGAAATCTCGTGAAACCGGAATCTGAATAAACCGTCCCTTTTGAGATGGAGAAGGTCATACCGGAGGTCGATATTCAAGGCAATCAGTCCTAAAGGTATAAAAATTTGTGATCGAACAACTCGAATCGAACAATTCGCCTCAGTTGAAGTCGACCCGTCATACCGGAAGTCGATTTGCAAGACACTTGAAAATGTTCTGCAACTTGTTACGAGAGAGAGATGAAAATGCGGTTGGCTCAATTCAATTCGACTCGAATAATACGATTGTCTTGATCAAGTCTTCCCGTCATATTGGAAGTCGACTTCTAGGACACTTAAAGACATTACGTAATCGGCTAATAAGGAAAGTTAATAAAACTTCCCCTTCCCGACGCCATCCAGCCTCTTCCTCTTCCTAACGACAACTTCCTTTTTTTCTGCACCCAGGTACGTAATTAATGGATGATACGCACACAAAAAAAGACACGAAATAGGGGAATCCTTGTTTACAATATTTGCCTCATTAGCATAAGCAATTCAGTTTCTGATGGAGTTAAAAATAAATCAGTTCTGAATATCGAAAGGCCAAAGTACGATTAACTCGGCCAATGAATACGAGCCTGATGCATTGAATACTTTTTGTGCAACACGGGTTTAAAAACTCAAAATTTTACATAGAATGTATGAGCTCTTTAGCGCTTTTGCCACCCAGAAATTTTGCAGTTTTTGATGGACTATTTCTCCTTGAATATTACACCCAAAGAGCTAAAAATTTCACCATGTACTAAGATTTTCTAGCTCTTTAGCTGCCTGAAGTCAATTTGTATCTAACATGCCTCCTTCTTTACACAAAGCCGTATGCAAATAAGCAAAAATGTAAACAATGACGTCAGCATGAATCCGCCTCTAGCGCGTGCCCCTGCGTTGATAGCGCGTCTATCTACCCATGTTAAACGAGAAAGGTTCGTGTGCATTTTTCTGTGAATCCAATGAGAAAGGTTGACGTTCCCAAAATGGAGTCGAGTCGACCCTTGCAAATTGTGTCGATTCGTCAACATTTAGAACCCTCCATTTATTATGCTCTAACGCTTAGGTGTGTCATGGGATCTTTTGCGAATCGACATGGACTTAACAAAAAAAGCGTCGAGACGACCCGTGCAAATCGTCTCGACTCGTCAACATTTACTACCTCCATTTGACTTTTAAGTTTGTATTTTTTTCTTCTTAGAATCGGCTTCCTGTGATAAGAATCGATTTAATTAAAGACAAGTCGAGTCGACCCATACAAATCGTGTCGACTCAACATTTACTAAATTATGTTCTGTGAATCGACCGCTTCCGTGCAAATTGCCTCGGTTCATCAACATTCCATTTGTGTTCTTCTGCGAATCAACTTCCAGTGAGACGGATCGACATTACTAATTAAAGACAAGTTGCGTCGGCTCGTACGACATTTCCTACCACCATTTAACGCCCATGATTTTGGCGACTAGACATCGTATACCTTAAACCTACTACGTTAACAGTGTTCTACCTTGCTGTGAATTAATTTCTAATGACTGAAAGTCCCGTCTACTGACAAATTTAAACCAATCCAGTTTCAGTGCTAACTGTTGTCGCAAATTTTCAGCTGTAATTTTGACGGTAGACGTCGGTATTTCTCAGTATCTCGTAGGATACCCCTTAAGGTGTCTTGAGCCGCAAGAAGTAAAAATAGCCAGTCTATGACCGCATGTATCTTCGGGAATTTTCATTGGAGTTTTCTTGTTATTACTGTTACGATATTTTCACAACCGATAGAAAGATACAACTCGTACCAACTCAACTACCTCATTGATTGACGTAATGATCTTACTACGGAGCGATACCATTATACCGAATCAATACAATAACTGTCCTCTTATCTTAGAACCCAACTATACTCTCAGTGTACTACTGCACAGCTTACAGTTCTCTTCAAAGATCCTTGTGACTTATCGATGTCCACAAAACTTTTCTCAACGTAGCCTTCCACCCGGCTGACGATTCCAGTCCGGGCTTATAACAACACTAGCTCTCCTGGGCTCTTCGCGACAGCACACTGTTTCACAATACACTGGCCCTGCTCTAAAAGAAAGGCTAACTTCAACCGATCGCGACCCCTTATATATCTTTTACAAAATGTTCTAGAATATTCCAAGGATCTGTTATACAACTATTTTTAGCATGACAGGACGGAAAATGCGTGCTCTGTAAGTACCTCCCGTTGTCCATACAAAGCCTTAGAAAAGTTTTCTAAGGCTTTGTATGGGACAACGGGAGGTACTTACAGTGCACGCATTTTTCTGTCCTGTCATGATCATTACTTTGCTATTGCATAATAACAAAATATGCTGACTAAGGGTTCTAGAAAGTTCCATTAAGAGTTCTTAATGAGTCAGCATGACTAAGGGTTCCAGAAACTTCCTCACTGAGTTCTATGTTTAGTAATTCTGTAACACAACACTTTCTAGAAAATACGGGCACTCTCCATAACACCTCTGCTAATGTAAAGTCTGTGCTACACCCAGCTGGAGCATATCCCAGACCTCTCGACCCAGCGTCCAGTCCACTGATCATCTGGCCACTGCCTCTTCCGCAAACATACACTACAATACTTTAACAATAAGACCGGCAGTATTGTACTAAATAAAGTTCCTTTTTGTGCGTAAGGGCATTTTCACCCTAAAAAGTTCCTTTAAAAGGGTCAGTGTACCTTGTCTCTCATGCGGACTTCTTCCCAGGTTGTGTAAACATCTTAGTCATTACTACCTACAACAGTCCTTCTCAGGACTACACTCACCCAGACGATCAGACTACGCCATCACAAGGGGCTGAAAGTTATCATTTTGACATCAAAGCACTTTTCTCTTGTCTCTCTGTGAGAGGGCAAGCAGTGGCACCATACAATGTTTATCAATGTATTATCATTTAAGGGAGATTTCCTGAGGGATGGAGATCTTGCAATGTGCAAGGTCTTTCCCAAGACTTGCATGATGTGACAATGTAGAAAGCATTTAGTGAGACAATTGATTCTAAAAATTCAAGTACAGTAAAAAATGTTCTCTTTTTCAGGGTTTTGGTGCCACGTCTCTTTCAACACAAGATTGTCGCCGAGCAAATCCTACGCTGAGATATCATTTGTTTCCATCAAGCTGATATTGGGAATATCTAAGATCTGAGAACACTTTGACATGACAAAATACTGAGAACAATAAACGATCAGTTTTAAGCCAATTTATATTTTATTTCGAATTGTAACAGCATTAAACTGTAGCTAAAAAAAATTAAGTGAAAAAAGTAGCCTACTGTGGTGAGAGCAATAATTAGGAGAAACGTACTACTTATAAATTTTTTTTTGTAGGATGTTACTATCAGCTAAAAAATTTAATACTGTTTGTTCGTGAGTAAAAAAAATCACTAATAATAGAATTTAAAAAACAAGCACTCATTCACGTCGTAAAAACGTGAGAATAATAAACGATCAGTTTTTATGCATTTATCTCTTATTTGGAATTGTAATTGTACTGTAGCTAAAAAAATAAGTGAAAAAGAAAATAGCCTATTATGGTGAGAGCAATGATCAGGAGAAACGTATTTTCTAATATCTATTTTGTAGGATGCAACTACTATCTAAAGAAAATATAGTACTGTTTCATCGACTCGTGAATAATAAAAAAAAAAAATAGAAAATAGAATTTAAAAAAAATGCAAGCCACGTCGTAAGAACCTTAACTTAAAAAAATATGTGCTGCCTCGGTGTTAAGCTATTTACTTAGTTCCGACAATATGCACGTACGAGTAACGATTGCTCTAATGGATTTAATAATAGATTTGCCGAATTCGCTCTGGTGGGTTTTCTACTCTTTATCATTACGAGTTAACTTGAAATTCTTTCATTCTCGGAACAAAACCTGTAGGATCTAATAAGCGCTAATTACTTTAGTGTCATTGATATTTGTTTATTTCGTCCTTTATTTTTTCACACCTTCTTTATGTGTTATTTGTTAAGTTTGTTCGCGTTTTTCTTCGTCATTTATACCTGTTTTGAACATTTCTAATAATGCACGTTATTTGGCAATCTTCTTGTATCTAAAGCCCATTTCTTTTTCGCGTACCGTAATCACTTTTTTAAATCAGTTCATCCACAGCTGTCGCGCCGTCACAGTTCTCTGTTTGGAAGTATTCCAGTTACTTGCTATTGTAGTTTCTAGATATAGCGTTATTAATGAAAGTATATTTGCCGTTTCGCTTCGTTTTTATTCTTTTTTTCTGTTTGTAATTCGTTTATTTAGTTAACTTAACTTGTATTTTACGTTTTTTTTGTTTCAAACCACTTCTACTACTATTAACGCCGATGTGGATAAATATTCGAGTTAAAAAAGTAACGCTTTCGCAGTTATACAACCATTATTATATCAGACTATTATAACGGTGGCCATTATGATATCAGACTTATATGACTATTAATTTGAATTCGTTATCGCTTTTGAAGCTGTTTTTTTTCTTTTTGGTTACCAACCACGTCAATCTATTTTTCTAACGAGGCATTTAGATCGTTTCACTATTCATCTCTTTTTGTCTTAGATCAGTTATAGGCAATTTTATTTTAATTTTTTTTTTTTCTTATCTTGACGGTATGTGCAGCTTGGTATGAATATTGCGCTCATTTTCCTGATAGCACTGATCTCAAATTGAGTATAAAATAATTAATTAAACGCGTTTTTCTCATTTTCTTTAACTCATTGGTATCAGTTATTAGCGCACATTTCTTGGTGCAGTATTTAAACCTGCACTTCCTAGTGAAGAATTCTAGTTTAACTTCGCCATCTTGGCAAGGATCACTCTGTTTCTAGAGTCAAAGAAGTTACTGCCGGAGCTGACCGTACAGAGGGTGGCAGCATATTGGGCAATTACGTCTAAAAGCAAAAGAAACAAAAACTGTGAAATCCAGAGCGCTCTAAGCAAACTCTTCAAAGGCGGGAAAAAAGGAGTGATCAAATCCTGGATGGGTTTAGTTTTGCATCTCAATTGCTGAGAGATCTTGAGAGGTTGGCGTGAGATTTAGAAACCAATCACAGGGCGCGGTGAAGGAAAGCCATTGCAACCCTAGTTGCTTTTGAAACTCGATTGAATTTGCTAATAGTCAATAAGGATTCAAAGAGACGGCAGGTAAACTCCCTGAAGCGCGAGAAAACGTGCACGTGTGTGGCCAAGTCGTAATTGGTTTTAGAGGCTGGCGCGAGTTTTCTGGACCAATCAGAGAGAAAAGCAACCTCTTTTCCAGGGCCAACTAAGGGAAAAGGCCCTGGGAACGAGGTTGAGAGTAAGGTAATGCAAAACCAAAGCAATCGCAAATTACTTTGACACCCAATCGAAAACTGTCGTTAGATACTGTACCTTTGCGTAAAATAATGCTATTTATTGGACCCACAGAATGCGGGTATGATGTTCACATCCCTAAAGAGTAATGGCGTTTTCATGGCACTAAGTAAAAAAATCTTTATACATAAATTGATAACAGCAATAAGAGTTTCATGAAAATAGCTTCGTCTTCCCAAAGAACTAACGTCGCATCCTTTTCCATAGTTGAAAACTTTATTGATAATATCGTATTATCATTATCATTTATTATCGTTATCATCGCCACTATTCCATAAGTTGTACTTTCGCACGTTCGTTAGCATCCTTTAAAACGTTTCTAACACTTGTTATAGACTATTTTAAGCATACTTACACGCCATTCTGTATCATTGCAATGGCACACTCCCTGTGAACCTTATGAGAGCATGGCAGGATCTGACAACCGCTGAACGCGTCCTGAAATAGAGTGCAGAATTTAAAGTGTCAGTAAAAACGCTACCCTGAACAGTGTCTCCTGAGGCTTTAGATGGCGTTAAAGATTATTGCTTCATGGCGAAAGTTCTCAGCTCGGTGTTTGAAGCAATTTAAAAGCGTGAGATATGAGCTCTAATTTACCTCCAAGCAAATGCAACACTCGTCATGTCCTGAATTTGGCCGACATTTGTGTTTTCCTTTTAGTCGCTTGTCCAGGCAAACATTGCACACATCACAGTGAAAGGATCTGTCCTTGTAAATGCTGCAAAACAGATTGTTGAAATTGTATGATACAAAGTATTACGTCACTAACGTCATTCCAAGCCGGTGGATTTTTCTCCCAAAACTTTAATTTTTGCAAAGCAAAAACGATTGAAATGTTCTTTGCAAAGATTAAACAGGATAATGTGCAATGTATCGTTTTCTTCTTTCAATCTATGGCACGTCTCTTGAAACTATCTCCAGCAAGTTGAAAGAAAACAATTTATTATAAAAAGGCGTTTAAATCTGTATATAACTGGCTATTATGTTTTGCGCACGAGCGAATAAACTTTTCAACAAGTCCTTGCGTCTTTCAATATAAAACCAACTTACCGGCAGATTTCGCACTTCTCGCAGTGAAAAGGGTTCTTGTCAACTCCTGTAAAATGCTTACACTTTGGGCAGAAATATTCTGACAGTTTTAAGCCACAACGTCTGCAATTTTGACTTCCTTCATTTATCTGAGAATATCATCAGTCAGAAGAAAAAATATTTTGCCAAGAATTTGTTAACTAAACATTGCGAGTTATAAATGTTTTCGGCATAAGCAATGTCCGTGTGGCAATTTTTGCAGAGGCGTGACATAAACAGACTCACACCGACGACCACCTTCTAACCCACACTAAAACCAGTGGGAACCTGGGCACAACTTTTTTTTCCGCGCTTTGATCTGATTGGCCTTAATGTTCACGAGGAATTTGCTTTTTACGTCGACTCGAACCGAAGGCTTTCTGACGCTCTTGGTTTTCTGATCAATCTGATGTTAGATGTAACTCACTTCCATTGGATCTTAAAGACAGGTATTTTGGGAATGAATCAATCGGGTAATTACCTCTAAGCTACTTCAGTACGACAAAAGTTCAAGTATGCTAACCTCTTCTTCGAGTCCGCAATTTCCGCACTTGACATGCGTCGCATGATGTGCCTTCTCATCAGCAGGGCATGTCCCCGATAAATTGTGACAGCGGTGGCACGGATGAAACACTCCGCAACATGGAAACTTGACGCTGCATCTCCACTGGTAATGTTCACACTGCCATAGTGGAGTCTCCTGAAGGGGAAGGCTCTCTTCTACAATACTGTCATGTCTTATTCTTGTTTCGCGTTCTCTTCTCTCTTCCAATTCTCTTTCCATCCTCCCTCTATTTTCTATTTCTTCCCTCTCTCTCATTTCTCTTTCTTCTCTTTCTCTCATTTCTCTCAGTTCCCTCTCTCTCGTTTCTCCGTCTTCTCTTTCTCTCATTTCTCTCTGTTTCCTCTCTTTTCTTTCTCTCTCCTCTTGTTCTCTCGTTTCTCTTTCTTCTCTCTTTCCTTTCTCTTGCCTCTTTTTGCCTCTTTTCCCTTATCTCCCGATGTCTTTGTGCCGCCTCGCTCTGTCTTTTGGTCCGTTCTTTTCGTTTTTTAAGAACTCTATCGATTTCAGCCACTTGTTGTTCTAGAGAAACCAGTGAAGGGTCCCCAAGCGATACTGAAGCATGTGAACCTTCCCGTTGATTATTGAATAGGTGATGGTTCCTCGAGCTTTCTTCTCGTCTCTCTGGAATAACCATTTCTGGTGAAGTCAAACCACTATTTGCTTGGTTATTTCTAAAGGAGGGCCTGTACCTTTTGAAGTCCCCTACTCGTTCTCGTCCATAGCTACCTAACATATCATAAGTGGAAGTAACTGGGGCTACACTTCCTGACATCGTACTTGAAGAAAATTGCGAAATGGCGGTTTGAAAACGTATCCTGGAACTTGGTGGGGTAACAGCGGGCGCCAATAGGCTGACTCTAAGTGAAGGTGATGCTGTCTGAGTCCCATTTTCTGCAGTAAAGTTACCAAAACTTGAAAAGCTTGTTAGATGTATGTTGCTTGGCAGATTTTCATTCCAGTTTAACCGGTCAATGTCGCGGCTGAAATTACATGCGTTGGAGAACTGCCCCGTCATTGATGTCACAGGTTAGTAATTTACTGGCATTGGATCTCCATACCATGGAATCAGCCCTCTGGAAGTTACATTCTCTAGCACCAACCCGCTTCTTTCAGGAGCCGGCGAACGAGGGAGGTTCCAAAGTGAGGAGGAGCTGCTGTTACTAGTTATAGAAGTTTTGGTTCAATCGTTGCTAGTGTACATGTCATAACTTTCTGTAAACGAGATCTGCGGAAGACTTGGATCTGTTGAGTGCCGGGCGAGAAAAATCTGATCAATACCAGTTGTCTCCAAGGATGGTATCTTTCCATTCTGGTAATGTGCATCGAACAGCACTGGATTCTGCGGTACAATCTTTGGTCTTGCTCCTTGGCTTGCAGCTATACCATCTCTTTCCGCTGAACGCTCGGCATTATTTCTCACTTCGAATCTGTTAGCTTTCTTCTTGTCATTTCTGGTGTTGGGATTTTCACAAGAAGTGTCATTATTGCTGTTGATACTATTGCTACCTACTGGGTTTCTATTACTATTCTCTACACTAAAGTTGCCCGTGTCCTCGTCAATGCTGTGCTGAGAGTTAAATCGCAAGCTGACGTTTAATTCCTCAGTCAGAGACTCTTCAGTTTCATCTGACCCTACAGTTGTTTCGTCTGCATTTGGAGAAAGAGGGGCTTGAATTGTGTGACTCTTTGCACAACCGCCATTGTTGCAGGTAAAGTCGTCCTCAACATTGTGGCTAGTGTTCCCTCCATCATCATTATGGTATTTGCTGTCACAGTTTTCGTCACAGTTTTCATCATCTTTATCTCCATTGCCTCTGTCATCGTCACTGTTGTCACTGTTTTCCTCGCTGTTTCTACTGACACCATCATCGTCATTATCATCACCACCACCACCACCACGGCTGTGATCGTCATTACAATTACTAACATTATTATTGCTGTCTTTAATTCCATGTTCGTCTTGGTCTTCAGAGTTACTCAGGTGATTTGCGTACCCGTTAAGATGAGTATGGACTCTCGTGCCTTTTTCCCTTCTAGCACGATGATCCAAAGGTAATCCCGAATATTTGGAGCTTAGTCGGGGGCTAGACCGGTTCTGTTCTTCGTGTACATGTTCCATGTTGTTGCTCTGATCTGTGACTGCCACAGCTTCTGAGATTAATACATTTTGTTAGCTAAGGCCTTCGCATATAATTCTCGTCGCTGAGAAAATATACAAATATAGTAACATATATCAAATAACAAAGCTATGAATCGAAGCCAGGAACGAATCTGGAGAATTAAAGGGATTAGGGGACTCGAAGTACTGAGGGTGAGGAGATACCAGGGATTGTATGGCCAAGGGACAAAAGGCTGCAGGACAACTTACACGGGCCCTTTCATTAAAACGGAATAACTTAGCGGTCAAGATCGAAAGGAAAAGTGACTGACAAGATTCCTACCAAATTCCTTGTCATGTCTCTCTTTCTGGAGCTCCTCATTAGGCCGGTAATTTGCAACTGCAAGATTTCGTTTTGCAAGGTCTCTTTCATACAGAACGCGACCGTATTCTTCTTTTAACAAACGACAGTAACTGTCTTCATTCAAGAGTTTTGCCGTGTGCCCTGCATATTCACCCGATGGTGAATTTCCAACCACGCTATCCAGGGGGGCAGCTTTAGTTCGGTTGGTCGCCGTTTCTGGTTTTGCGTGTACGGCTCTTCTCTTTGGCTTTCAGTATCACAAGGGATGTCACTAAAATCAATGAAAAAGAATCCCACTATGAAACCAGTCATTACTTATCACCTGAGGGGAGGAGTAGAGGAACTTGGAGGATCACATGGTTTTTAGAGGGAACCGACGGGGAATCAGTAGTTGCTAACAGAATGTTATGGGGGTGGGGAGGTTCTAGATAACCGACTGTCAGTTAACTGCCAATGAGGAGGGATATCAACCAAAATCCTCTGAACCACCCCCCTCCTCCCAGGCGAGAAATAATGACCGGTCTGTAAGACTCGTACCTAAAACCAGCCGATAAATTTTCTTCAAGTGGCTGGTTAGTAATCTCTTGTTTACTTATATTGGAAATACTTTACCAATCTTGATCATAAAAGTTTAGCTTGACATTCCTTTCTCTTTTTCATTCTGAATCCTGAGAGAGCTTTTTCTGCGTCTAGTGAAGCTTAATTAGTGCAACTGAAACGCACACAACAATAAAACCACACCTGACAGCAAAAACAACAACAAAAAAATACATAATGGAAAATATTTAAAAATAACAATTTAAAACTGAAATTACATAATAACAAGTAACAACATGATTGTAACATCTTCGAATCGAATTTAATCAAAAGAACTGTTTTAATCGAAGAACTGTGTCGAGCACACGGCACTACCAAAAAGTATGTGCTTTCTACAAGGTCAAGTGACATATAAAACGATTACGTCATTACAATAATATTATAACATTATCAACAAAAGTAAGTCTACATACTCACGCAGTTTCCAGAGTATTGTTTCTACTTAAATCGTTTATAGACGTTTAAAACTATTTTCACCCATTTTCTCAAATTCACTACGGTTGTCATATGTAGTGTGGCAAGGTCCAAATTCCACAATCCAAAGGTATAGTCTAGTCCAAGGTTATCGTGTGGAGGTTGTTCCGTCTCCATGTTTACGTAGTAAACATTTGCGTGCTGAAAACATCGGTTAATCGCGCAATCGAACAGTGAAGAATTAAAATTTTCTACGCCATATATTTTGTTGATTCATTTTCAATGTTATTTCTTTAAGGAGCACTCTGATGAAACCGCCTTATAATTTGATAATCCGAAAAATTCAGTTATTTCATTATAATATGAATTTTTAGTGATTAATAAAGCCTTTTCAATTATGATTTTAGTTGAAAGTCAATTCTAGGGCGAGAAATTACGATTTGAGAACCGTTCCGCCATTAATTTTCGTGATCACGGCCAACTTATCTTCGGTCAGCGGTCCCTCCCAATGTGACGTAGATTACTCAACACACTTTTAAATTCATATCAAACTGTTTCCCCACTGCGATGGACATTTGTTTTTGTCGGTTCCAGCCTGGCGCGGCCGCTAACCCAGATCCCCTCCTGAGCAAATTTTCAAAATGGCGGACAAGCCAAAGAGAGAGATAAGAGAACCAAAGCGATTCTGCAACGAATACTCAGCATACACCCCTGTTAAAAAGGTCATTTCACAGAGAAAAGATACAAAATTATATGATATTGAAGTCATCATATCAAACTGTTTCCCCACTGCGATGGACATTTGTTTTTGTCGGTTCCAGCCTGGCGCGGCCGCTAACCCAGATGCCCTCCTGAGCAAATTTTCAAAATGGCGGACAAGCCAAAGAGAGAGATAAGAGAACCAAAGCGATTCTGCAACGAATACTCAGCATACACCCCTGTTAAAAAGGTCATTTCACAGAGAAAAGATACAAAATTGTATGATATTGAAGTCACGGAGGTTGACAAACCCAACAAGAGACTGAAAATTCACTACATTGGCTACAGTACACGCTTCGATGAGTGGAGACCCTTCGGGGTTCTGTCCTCGTGTACCGGTTCACAAGAGCCAATACAAAAGACCAAACAATACACAATAGCTAACCGATAACTCCTAAACAAAGAAAGAACAATGGTAATTCCCTTGTGAACCGGTACACCAGGACAGAACCCCCTTCGGGGACGGTGAAGCATCTGAATATTTTCCTTCGAAATTGTATAGATTAGTAGGCTGCAACAAAAATTTATTGGACGACGTTTAGGGTAAAAACAGCAATCTAACCTGAAAAAAATGTATTTATTCCGACTCTTTCGGAAAATAACTTTACAAATCTTACTTGTTTATCTCGTAAGTAAACGATGGTGAAGCGCTTTCCGAGCTACCCGATTCTTCTCCCACTGCTTTCACGCTTATAAAACAGGAAACGAGCAAAAGGAGGAAGGTGTGGCTGTTTTGACTAGCCATTTGACGAGGTTCAATCTGCTCCTTGTTCGACAATTTACATATCAAAACAAAGGAAATTTGTTCCTCTCTTTGATTTTGGCGGTACATTTTCAATTTGCGCTTGCGTAAGAGAGAAATCGCCCAAGACTCCTTGCTCGGTCTTGTTTTGACCACGAACGCCTTCTTAATTTTGACGGACCCGCTCGGGAAAAGGTGAAAATGACGAAGGAAAAACTTTACTTTGTAGTACGAAAATACACAAAATGGAAACCCATGATATTATAGTTCAATATTTCGGTGGTACATTGTTAACTTTTTATACAGAGAGTCGGCAAGATGATATAACATTCAAAAATCGCACTCGACTTGAGTGGGCCGATGAAGTGGGCGTGGTCACGAAATTCAGTAAGAGACTATTTGTATCCCGTGAGTTTGATATGATACGGAAACCTCGTGAAATTTAGTGAAATAGTCTTAGTCTTAGTATTATAAAAAGCAATTTATACGATCAAAGTACTGTTTTTGATAATTAGCCACGATCACGGCGCGTCAAATGAGTAATCTCCGAACTCGCGCCAGTCTTCTTGAGCCTGCGAAGCGATTAGGAAAATTAATGGCGGAACGATTTTCAATTCATAATTTCTCGCCCTAGAATTGACTTTCAACTAAAATTATTATTGAAAAGGCTTTATTAATCGGTAAAACTTCATATTATAATGAAATAAATGAATTTTTCGGGTTTTTCAAATTATAGGGTGGTTTCATCAGAGTGCTCCTTTAAAGGAGCCCGTCATGGTGACTCAGAAGGTCAGCTTTGAGTTTTAAATTTGTCATCTGTGATCCGTGACAACCTTCTCCAACTTCCAATATCCTTGTTCCCTTTTGAATCCTTTTCTTCTTTCTTGCCTTTTTGGTTTTTCTCTACCGTAGCGAAATATTATTCGGTCGAACGTTTCCCCAAGCCTACGACTACTTTTGACAACTTAAAAATCTCTTCTTTTAGTAGGCTGCAGTCGACATTTTATTTCAGACAAGCTCGAATAAATCATGCAATCTTCTGAGAATCAGTCTCATAAGGTAAAATTAAAGGTAACGGTAGAAATTACTATTGCTGAATAGAAACACTTCCATGTTCACTTTCACCCTTCTAAACATAATTGAAGAGCCAATCGCGTCGAGCCGGTATTTGTCAACCTTTCTTTGGCACTTTCGTCATTGCATATGCATGCGATTCGTTGATTTTAAAGAAAACAATGGTGAAAGGAATAGTGTATCGCAACCTGCGAAAATTTTGTCGCACTTTGGTGTCATTTTTGGGGAATTTTACCAGACGTAGAGTTTCACGTCTCTTACGACTCTAAAGGAAGCCTAATTGTGATCGGAGGGGCGAACAGCAATGTCGACGAAAAATCACATCAGGGCAGTTATGGTAGCGTCGTCGCTGAGCTAGCGACACAGAACGAGTGCGAAAAATCGACATGCCTGCTGTTCTGTTTAAATGGTGATTTTGTGGGTACTCGAAGAAAACAAAGGCAGCCGAGCGACAGAGAGCGGTGGAAATGCTACAACAAATTTACGAGTACTTGGCAGTAGATATTGCGTGACTAACATACTCAGACTCGTTAACGAACGTAAAAAATTTTGACGTGTGCTCATTTAGCATGACGGTGCACGATTCTTTTGTAGCAATACGAAGGAATTATTTCATCACTAAACGCTTTCTTGTAGATTTTTACATCCACTCCACCGTGTCATTGATGTAAAACGTCTGTAACTTCGATGGGTATACGTCCGGTCTTTTATAGTCGAAGTACCTTGAGATATAGAGAAAGATATTTGTGTCATGGCGAGCGTGGGACAAGGAAAAACTCGGTCGAGTCCCCGTGAGGAATCCAACCGCGTTCTGATGCTCTACCACTGAGCCACAGACGCAATGGTGAACAAGAGTATTACGAAGTTCATACATGACACGTGTCCTGCATACTACTAGGATCAGCAATGTCGAAAGTGTCATGATAGGAATGTCTGAGCTCGGTGAAGAAATAGTGAAAGATGTCCGTGGACTCGACAAATCGCAATACGAACAAGTCAGTATACTAATAACACTTAGAGTTGTTCATTTTGACGGTGATATTTCATCAATCTAGCAATGTTTTCAAAACGAAAAAAGGAGGCAGCCGCTGATAATAGGTTAATGTTGGAAAATTCGAGTCAGCAATTTAATTAAATTGAATTACTGACTAAAAATTTCTGCCTACGTGACAACTGTCACGTATTCGCGCTTTAATTACTATAAGGAAATGAACTTTATCAGCACATTTTTCTCCTTTTGCTGAAATGGCTTGAAACGTACAAAAATGTCATGAAGGTCAATTAGTTCTTTAGACTGCCTTATTTACACGCTTGGATTTGATTCCAGAGATCTTATTTCCATGATTTCCATCCCTTTCAAAACACTGTGAGACAAATCGAGAAATATTCGCATCCTGTGCAAATCCATTTTTTTGAAGTCAAACCGTGGACAGGTTTGCATGTACACAGGGAGCCCACACAAGCAGCGTGTCTGGTGGTTCGTTCGTTCGAAATATAAAGAAATGTATGGGAGAATATTGAAGAGTCGTAATATCGAAAACTTTTATCAAGGAATGTCTGTGTTAAGGCTCAAAATAAATGTAAACCTACATCACTTGCTGTGTATTGTCGTTTCTGTGGTTCTTAATGGCGAATTTGAGCGATTTGGTGGGTTTTGCGTTGACTGTTACTTTACGTTACAAGAAGGAGACTCCTTCGCATCAAACTATTGTAAATTTCAACTGAGTTCAGATATAGAGAAAAACCCTGGTCCTACTCCAATGTACATTGACCCTAGTAAAACAATAACGGCACCATATAGCCAAATTATAATGAGTTGGTATTTGGACAAAATTCAGGACAACAATGTGTTGTAATGAGTTTATGCTCCGGCTTTGATTTACAATAACAAACAAGGAATCAATTCTGTTAATGATTTTGTGTCAATGATGAATATTGGAAATCAGTTGAATTCAAGGTTGTCTCAATTAACCAGACAATCATTTTTAGTGCAGACAGAATTACCCACACTTTTAAATGTGTTCAAGACAGACTATGAACTTTAATACAGTGAGAGTTACACTGGTACTGTTCATCAATGTAAGACGGCCAAAACGGTCGACGTAAGAACGAAAGATCCGAGGGAAGATTTACAAGTTTATTACACAGCAAATAGATGCAACGGTACAAAAACAAAATGGCAACGAGTGACACTAAACAATAAATAAGAAAACAAAGCTCCAATGAGCTAAATGATGTAACAAGATTAAAATGGCATAGGTACTAAAAGTTGGAATCACCTGAAACCATCTGAAACCACCGATGAAACCACCTGAAATTTACTTAGGCAGTGGAAGTTAAAGCCACCATTCATCAGCTATATTCTGTCATTTGCAGTAAAATACCTTGCAAGAAATCCATATATATTTCACTTTTGCAAAAACAAAGTCAGTGAAATTCTAGGTCACGCTATATATTCGTCTCTGATTAAAAAGAAACGCAATGTTCAAAATTTCCTTAGGAAGTTTGAAAATCTTCAGGCCTTCCTGGGCTTTTTCATATATAATTTGCATGATCCCGTTGAAAAAACTTCACGTATTTCTTTCGATTTAAAACAGTTTCTTCTTTGCATTCGCGATCGCATGTTGTTATTGTCACGCAAGTGCTTTGTCAAGAAATGAATTCGCATATTCCCGTGCAACTCCCAGCCATTCGTAGAGCTAATTGAGTGTGTTTTCAACAAGAACAATGGAATGTTTCCTTGAAGACCTGTTTGTGGTGCCTATTCTGTACTGTAGGGCATTATATACGATATCCGTAAGCCGGGCTCCTTGTGGATAAACTCGATTGTTAACACTTATTTTCTGATGTTACCCGTAATTTTTTAAGGTGCTTTCATGTTGTTTTAAATTGTTTCGAGATATTTTCAGGTAATTTCAGATGGTTTCCTTGGGGGTTTCCGAGGGTTTCAGGTGGTTTCATCGGTGGTTTCAGATGGTTTCAGGTGGTTTCAGGTGGTTCCAGGTGATTCCAACTTTTAGTACCTACGATTAATCATCCTTTTTTGTACGAGATAGTTTAGTTAAGCGCGAAGTTCGCGCAGAAGAGAAGGCTTTTGGACGTACGTCTTTGGCGAAGTTCGCTGAAGCTTCTCAGAGAATTTCTAAGTTCAATTCGAGTTTAATCCGTGTTATTGTATACTTGGAACTCTGAGAATTAAAAGCCTAAGGAAGACTTTACAGTATGTTTTCCAAAAGCTATATAATAAGCGAAATAGTGCGGACATTCCCCGATTACATATTCTGGGCTCATTCTCGGTGTAAAAACCGGCTCATCCTCGGTTTAAAAACCTGTGAAGCTCACGAGTGACGTAAAACAAAGACAACAAAGCATTAGAAACGATAGCGTACAGCAAAATAATACCTCATAAAACAAAGAAAACCTCGTCAGGTTTTTACACCGAGGATGACCCGAGTAATGTGTAGGGTAGCTCAGCACATAATCATTTGCGATCGTTGCGATCGGTGAACGCGGATGGAATGACATTTGGCCACATAGCAGTTTGTCTACTCCTCCTAGATTTTTCAAAAATCATGATTTCTACCGACAAATTTGGACGAACGGCAAAAATGATGATATTTAAGGCTACCTAGCCATGTAGCTTAGGAAAAGATTCTTGTAAACGTAGTGTCCTATTTTAAGGGCTTTTCTCAAGTTTAATCATTCGCACCACTAACCCCCTTCCCCCGTGCTAATCAGGGTGCAAGATCTTATTGTTACCCTCAGACTTCAGGGCGCCCTCTAAGGGTCCCCGTGCCCACTGTCACGTTTACTTCAAGATATTTGCATCGCATAAATACAAAATGCAGTATTAATCTAGATTTTCCAAAAAACGAAATTTTTGTAAGTTATCGAAAGGTTCCAAAGACGAGTTGAAATTAATGCCAAAGTTGGCTTGAAGAAGGGAATTCAGGCCCGGATCGAAATATCGGAGTACTTTCGAGAAACAACGCAAGCGGATTCGGCTGAACGAATCTTGCTAAGCTGGGAGGTTTTGTACTTTTGCTGCTCTTGAGGAAACACATGCTCGATATTTGACTGCTGTCGCTGAACGAAGTGAATATTAATATGAAGTGTGCATGATAATTTGACGCTTACAACGTTGTAAACACGTTTCCTTTAGAATTGACGGAAAATGGCACGTGTTCCCTCGAGCTGAAGGAAGGCTTGATCGACGAATGTGACGAGGATGCAGTTTTTCCACTTGGGCACCAAATTCTCTCCTATTCATCTACTATTTAGACAACTGTACAATTCCTTCGTTAAATCTAAAATATTTTGAAAAATTAATGTAAATCAAGAAACAATTCATTACTCAGCACTTTCACTTCTCCACATCCTATTGATGTTCGCGTAAGTTCGCGTACGTGCTTTATGGAATTCAATGTCTTAGGGATGGTGGAAGCTGTTCTAAATTTTGCTGATGTAAATACATGTCTGTTGCAGGTATGCTAGCAATGGAGAAGTGAGGATCGTCGCCAAAAACTAACACTGTCGAACACAAGTTGGACAGCTTACATTTGAGAAGTCTTCCTCTCCGACTTTATCACGGTACTGTGTAAACGAAAGTCTGAGAGTAAATCAGTCGCCGACTCGAGATCCAGCGTTTACTTGTGGCTAGGAAGTAAACTGTTCACCAATACGCAGTGGCTGTTAGCTGATGCTCAAATAGTAAGGAGTGCTACGTTAGTTGTTTACGTCTTATCATCTATCACGTGACTAAGTATAAGTTTGATCTTAGGATTTGTACTGGATTTCCTGCTGGTGGACGGAGGAGCAAGATTCATATCGGACATGTAGCTTTCGAAAGAACTCGCAGATCCGAACAGTTATGGTTCAAAAGAAGAGAGTTACAAATTTACAAAATGTAAAGTATATTAATCGTCCCAAGTTTATAAAAAAATACATGTACACGGAGAAGTTATAAAGATTGAAATAACTTCCGAAATAAGGAACTACCATCAAGGATTTATAATGTTGACGTCTGGGAAAACTAATCTCTATTTTTGCCCAAGACTTCTAGTAAAAATAAACTTACCGGTTAGTCAAATCGACATATTCCGGCCAACTCCCGGACTGTCCGTCTCTGTCCCTTTATCTAGTCGTGTTCTGAGTTATTAGTTTTGTTAGCTATCAGGGAGGTCACCACACCTAGGAACTACT